TCCGTTGTTTGCACAAAACCGCAACAACTTCATGCCGTTATTGTTGAGGTCGCTAGGGCCGTTTTTCCCATTCACTCCGACGTGCGGATTAAAATCGCCCATCAGTATGAGGGACTCTGTATTCGGCACTTCGGACAGAGCATGCTGCACTTCTTCAAGGAAAGTATCATATTCAACCTCCAAATTGGGCGCGTGAATCTGTACCAAGGTGAACGGTTTTGCCTGTTGTAGCTTCAGTGATTCTATCCGCGTGCTTGGGTTTTATCAGAACACCAACACCGGCGTGAGCATGCGTCATGATAGCTTCCACCCGCAGAGGTTGAGGATTCCATAGCCGTTGCTCTTTGTTGACGAGTGTCCAACAGTGTCGAGTTGGTACCTTGCGGCCTCATTTATTATCTCCTTCCCTTGCCCTCTTGAATTTGGATATGTTACAGTTTCTACCTGTAAGCTTCCACTGGTGGAGTCATTCCATTGGAGCTTTTTCTGACTTGCTATAATGGCATCGCGCTGTCTGCCTCGTCCGTTCTGAACGGGTAGCAGCTGAATTTGTAACTTCGTCGTGGTTTTGTCGATTTTTCACAGGCGTTGTTGTGCTGCTACAGCGCTGGCTGCCGGATGGCGATGAGCAGTTTCTGGTCGCCGAGTTTTCGCAGCCTGCCCCAGTCCGGTATAATGTTCGATGACAGCAGTACCATGATGGGCAGATGGCTAAGTTTTACGGAGGTTTTACTATGGTTTCTAACCCTTCTCCCCTCTCATCCTCTCTTGGGACCGATAGTGGCGCAGTTGAAGGAAGGAGAAGCAATAGATGTTGCCTTTGTATTATGACGGTAATGGATTATTGATTATATAGATGCATGTCACGAAGTTGTTCTCGTTTGGCAAGATTCAAGATATTGTCCTGCTTGTGTTCCATGTATGCAGCAAATAGTTTACATAGTGCTTTATTGAAGGATGAATCGAGTTTTCATTGAAGGTCAACGCCACAATGTAGTCTGTCAGTGATAGGGATTTAGGGCGGAAAGTCAAAGTGTGCTGTAATCAGAAATCTATATCTGGATAGATGATCAATGTTTCTGGGTTATAGCGGAAGAAACTAGCTTTTCAAGGCGGACTCTGGCCATGGCCAAAATTATTTTTAGAGTTTCATCGTCTTTAGGTACTGATCTTTTCTTGAACTGGAACTTCGTGTGGCTGATTTTATGAATGGTCATTGAAGACTTTGACACTATTTTCCTGATTATGCTAAAATCGAAGTAACTTTCTACCTTTGAATCTTTATTCGTTTATAGATGCTCTACGAACTTGAATTCGAGCCAAAAGTTCCAGATGTCTGTAGGTCTTTGTGTTGAGTGGTTCGTTGTGGCTTTGTTTCGGAAATCCGTTTTAACAGTTTTTGGCATGTGAACTCTTGTCTAAACGATCGCGTTTCAGATGATCTCTTTCTGCCCTTCTGATTTACATAAATTTCCTGGAATGTGGTGAATCTACGGTCAGTTTCGATTACCGCCTATCGTTTCAAGTCATGAAGACAGACTCATCATACAGTGTTTCTAATTCTCCTCATCCTGTGCTATCGTTTCACCTTTGGCAGAAGACAACCGTAACAATTTAATCCTGACTGTCCCATTGGTCTTCTGCCGGTCGGTTAGTCAAGTGATAGTTGCTTCGCCTTCCTTTCTAAATGCATTCGCCATTCAGAATCTTCCATACCGCTGTTCATGGGCGCGAGATACAGTAACTTTTCTACCTGGTCCTCTTTTTCTCCGGCACCTTAAAATCTTCCGCTGGATATATTTTTTTAAATCAAGTTTAATTACTGATAAGAGTTTTTGCTCTGATTGCCTTACTCGTTTATTTTAGAATATTGATCCAGAAATTCGATGGTATTACCTAATCGAATTAAGTTTCTATTGGTCTCTGATGGTCACGCAGTTTGTGGACACGGTTCGAAAGGTAGAAATAATATATCAGTAGAAAAATGTAAAGCGCAGTATTTATAGGATTTTTGGGTGAACTTTGTCCACCACATCACCACGGTGTTACTCTTGTCATTTTCGTGGGCGAGCAACTTTGTTCGTGTCGGTACCCTCGTTTTAATCGTACACGATGCTGCAGATTTTTGGTTAGAGGTAAAAAAAATTATTTTGCGTAATTTGTTTATCCACACTTCTGCGTTCATTTTGAATTTTTGTTTTTGTAAAAAAAGAACCGAAAGTTCGAAAGTTTCTAACCCCTGAAATGTTTTTTTCTTGCACTTTCATGATATGACCGTTTCTGTCGTCTTTCTTTTCTTGAAGTTGATTGTAGGGACACAATGAAATTTTTATCATTTGTATGTGAGATTGATTTCTTTTTTTTGGTCAGTGACCAGCACATGAGAGAGGTGAGATTTCTGGTACCCTGACTTGACAACAAATCGCTTCGCATAGTTGCTTAGCTCATTATCCATCACCACCGACCTGTTTAACTCCCCTCATCACAGCGTTCACCTGACCAATCTATTTGTCTCTTTCCACATCTTGCCTTCCAGGACTCATGAATGCTACTTTGTGATGCTTAAACATTTTTTATATTCTTTAGGCCATACTCCATTTGATTGCAGAGCGAAATGAGTTATTTTTCATCATACGTGTCGTGGAAACCTGTTTACGTTGCAAAAGCTGCTTGCGTTTTCTACTTTTATTCATTTTTCTTCAGGGATTTAAGATGGCTCGTTATTGCCGGTATAATGGCCTGGCAAATTTTCTCTTCGTCATTTTTGCCCTCGTGTGGTTCACCACTCGGTGTGGCCTCTATCCTTTCTGGTACCGATTTATTTCAGTTTTTAGTTTTAAAGTATATCTTTTGTTTTGCTTTAAGGATACTCTATTCTACGACAATCGAGGCACCATTGATAGTTCACTTTTTCCCAGTGTATTACATTTTCAACTCGCTCCTGCTCATTCTGCTAGTGCTACAAATCATTTGGACGGTTTTAATCGTGCGGGTTGCGATGAATGCACTTCGTAGCGGAGAGGTAAGGCGTTTTTTTGTTTATCTAGTTGTTTTTTGGGGAGTATATATACATTCTTTTAACAAATATTTCAAGACAAATATTCTTCAGTCCATTCGGCTCGATGGTCAGCAAAACAAATTCTGATGTTGGCTTTGGCTTATTCGGTCATGGAAAGGCAGTGTTGTCACGTTTAACTGTAGTATTCGAATGCAAAGTATTCGAAGCGATCACGACGACGTAGAGAGCTGATTCTACAGACAAGCACAAAGCCTGTTCTTGCACTTTATTTTTAGAAGTTTTTAAGCAAATCATGCTCAACCTCTTATCAGTACATTGAAAATATTTGCCTATATTTTCAGCCATCTTTTGTACACCTTTGAATGCTAACTTTTTAACATGCATGCCGTTTAAAAAGCTGAATTGTTCTAACTTTGCCATGGTTTAGACTGATGATGTGAGAAGCGACGACGAAGGTTGCGAAATTGATCCAACTCAGGGAAGTCCCGACGAAGCGAATAGACTTTAGTCAGATGGCGATCCCAGTTACGGTGAAGCATGCTGTAAAATAAGTTGCAAAAATTTTTCATGTTGCGTTGTTAGTTCCGTTGAATAGTTCGTTTTATGTCTTGTTTTATAGTAGTTTACGTAAATACTTACATGTTAAAGTTAAGTGTTAAAAATGCGTTTTCATTCGTACAAAGGGATTTTGGAAAATGACCCGCTGTTTTTGTGTCAGTTTACAAGTGCAGTTTTATTTATGTTATTCGTTGTTGCCTACCTCGTTTCGTTTGCTGTTTCATCGTTTTGGCTAAGTTGCTGCACTTGCAATATTTTTCCTAGACTAACTTGCATAATGCCTTGTTTCGGTGCATTCGTGACGTTGGCTTTTGTGAGTTTTGCGCCATTTGCAAGCTGTGGGAAATGTCTTCTGTATGAATAAATACGGTGGCAACTGAATTTGTAAAATTTTTGTTGCATTTTATTCAGTAAAAAGTTTGTAGTTTTTGTTTCATCGGGGTATATCATTTGCTTTCAGGCCTGTGAAAAATGATACAGATAATATGCATTTTATTTCCGTGTGCTTTTATGAGCTTGGCACATCTGACCATCGAAGAGAGAATTGAATCAAGATCTTTTTCCTAATTATGAACTGCTAAAAGTTCATCGGCTACCGTTAGATTTGGGGAATAGTCGCAAAAGCTCTACATGCTTACGTCTGGATGATTGATCACAATTGAGAGCTTTTAAGTGGCATGCTATGGCAAATATACGATATCTAGGTTGACTTACTGACGTTCAACTGAACTAGACACCTCATTGCGGTGTTTTTAAAGTTGCAGAAGAGATCGCTATAACTGTGATGACAACTGCTGCTGCGATTTCTATGTCCAATGGTTGCAGGTTGATTTTCATTATAACCTGCCACATCGGTTGCAATTAGGGCTCGATGACCATACCGTCAATGAAGATGCAGTACTTATGAAGTACAGTGATCTTAAAACAATGGTAATGACTGTCTGTAAGAAGTACCTACTAACTAAAACACCCCGTTTATAAATCAATCATTCTATACTTCTTTGGGTTCCTGGACCAATGGAATCATTTAGTAGATGCCTGTAATAAAAATGCTTTGCCTTAGACCTTCTTGGAATTTTTTACCATAGTCCTGCCGGTTTTCCTCGTTGATAGGTTGGCTGACAATTCTTGGTACATCATAACTCAGTTGACGCGCCCAAATCTTGCGTAGCATTAAATGTTAGGGTGCTGCTTTCACGCACTCGGTACGCTTGCCATTCCCTACACTTGACGGAAAATTAAGATGACAACGAAGTAAGAGCTGACCAGTGCTATGCTTATTAATTTATTTGTTGGCATTAGTCAGCTTTTGATGATTTATTCTCTAATACCTGTAGTGGTTCGGACAAGAGGCTGTCGAACCCAAATCCTACTTGTAATGTTTTTCATCAGGAAGTCTACATGCCAGTATCCATTGAATTCAAGATCGTTTACATTTATGAAAATGTTATGAATATACTGCCGTTTAGCTGGGGTAAATATTAGAAGATTTAGTAGCATACTTTTCTTTTTTCGCATATATTTGTTGACGTCATCACCCTGTGTCGTGTGCATAACCAGTACGTCTCTGGTCATATCCGCTGAATCTTCAGCTTAACAACATTTGCTATGAAACACCGGTTACTTCATCGTAGAAGGAAAAATTCCTCTTCAGATGCGGATCAGTATCTACATTCTTTCTGGCCGATGTTTGTCATGTTTTACACGAGAAGTTGACGGACTTTATTAAAGTATGGCGTATGCAAAACCAGTTTTTCTGACAGGGCTAACCTGCTGTATTAATTATTAATCACTGCATTTATGAAAATCATCTTTGCCCGCGATAGGGTAGAATCGATCCTTACGTGGTTCTGCCATTTAACGTACCATACGCGTCGAAGCCAACGGTACTGAATAATGTTTAACTCTAGTAATGGGTTCTTTGTTAGAATAACTGTTTTTAGACATAGAACAACTGCCTGACCGAGGCAAGGTGTAAGCGGAGCTTGGAGGAAACGGATATCATTTCTCTGCTTTCAAAATGAATTCGAGGCCAGGGGATGCTTGTTTTTCACTGCAAGCTGGCCACCGCTAGAGATGTTTTAATCAAGATACTTAAATTTGTCATCATCATCAAAGCACTTGAAAATGATAGGCTTTCCTAGTTGTGTTGCATACAAAATCCGATCGATGACAGAGCCCGCCTCTCCTCTCCACCTGTGTTCACCAAAATAATATTTTCTGTGTCCTCCAAATCAGCAAGATACCTAACCGGAAATCCCGAATTGCTCCGTCGCTTTTGTCTTTGCACAATCAGCTCTGTTTTGAAGAAGAAAGTTGTGAAAAATGTTGAATAGGAAAAGCGAAACCACATCTCTTTGGCGAACTCCACTATTAACAGAGAATCAGTCAATTAGCTCGTTCCAAAATGGAAACGATGTATTCAGGTCTCCTGTCATATTTCAAGAAATTCTTCATCGACAGAGGAAGGACGAGTGTTTGAACTATTCAAATTGCAGTTTCGATAGTTTCGAAAGCCGCTCTTCAACTTTCGGGGTAGCCAAGTGGATAACCGTTGTTGCTCCGCGGTTGGTGCAAATCCGTCGATGGTTTGCAATACGCTTCACCGTAAACATCTGCTACAGTGTCAGAGTGACGATTCTTTGACATTTCCGGCTTTATGCATGTATTTGCTCCTATTATGTCTCGTCTGATCAGTGTTTAACACAGTGCGCTGGTGAAGAGTTAAACAGAAGTTTGTAACCACCTCTCTGGTCATATCTTCAGAGATACTTTTGTTGGAAACATTAATCTTTGTCAGACAAATCAATCTAACGAGTGGTTAGATCCTTCCTATGATTCGCCAACGATGAATCGTAAGTCGAGAGGGTTTTTTGAGATCTTACGTGAAGACGAAAGATAAATGCCAAGCTCTATTCAAAGGGTAAGCAAATTGCTCACAGATTTGGGTAGCGTTTTGGAGTCTTGCATTTCCTCAACTTTGACCGTCCTGAAGGCATGAACGACAAATGATTCATTTCATGCATCTCAAACTGCTTAAATTTTAGCTAAGTTGATGAGTCTTGATCTCCAGTTTAGTAGTGAACTTAATGACAAATTAATTTAATGAAAGTATTTTGGAGATTAACACACGCGCAGTCGCTCCCTTTTCCAACTCTTTTGGCATTAGAAAGATGAAATTAACGCCAAATCTATGGGTTATTGGTTTTCCGCCTGCCTTATCAAACTTTGAGCTCTGAAGAAATTGAAACACGTGCAAAACCTAGAAAGATGATGTTTCGAAAAATTGAATATTGTGAGGCGAAGTTAAATCTGTTGTGTACGGGTGTTTAAGAGAGCAGAAGCCATTCATCTGGGCGTGTGTGAACGTACTTCTGGCAGTAACTATATAAAAAACGAGTATTGTCATTAATATACACAGGATCCATGCGATGCAAAATCTATCTCTCTTTTCATTGATCAATAGTGTTTATTGCAAGATCACTGAAACATCATATTCAAGACTGATCCGCGCGCCAACAAGACGTAGCGAATATTTAGCGAAGTTGTTTGCATGCAGTTTACAGTACGACATCTTGATGTTCATGTTTTAATGAAGAAACCGCCGGTGTAGACTTTGGGAAGGTAGACGAGTACGTTGGATCAGACGTTGCTTGCAGGAAATCACCTTTTATAAAACTAACACTTGCTGACTGAATGCCGCTGCTATCACGTCGCCACATCTCGTTTCTAATTACCGAGACAACCGAGTGCCGCAGTAATCGTGACACTTCTGTACAACTGGCGCCAGAGCAGTTAACGCAGTCTGTGATGACCGTATCGAAGAAATACGTCCACCATGCAATTATGGGTTTCGGTAGCGAAAATCCGGTTTTCAGTGTTCTACCACGTTTTTGATCTCGCCAGTCAGCGGAACGTGTCGCCGTCGTTAAAGGCGATGGCTGAACTCCCGAGATGCCTGGCTCTTATGTAAGACCCCCGGCGCCGGACTCGCCTTGCAAAGGTTATGAGTTCATCTGGTGCATAGACGTCTGATTGGCATCAGGCGAACTGACGTCTACCAGACGCTTATCGTCGATGATTTGTCATCTCTATGAAGTGCCAGCATTAATAAGCGGCGTGCCTTTGCTCCCTGGGGTTAAAAAAGGGGTCATAAATATGTTGTGACAAAACTTTCATGCATAGCAATGTTTCTTGACTGTTGTCCGACAAGACTGTGGTTCCTGAAACTTAAAGGTTAACGCCCATGCACCTTACTATCCGCTGCGCGCATGCTCGCTTTCTAATCTTTTACCGTCCACCTACTGGTCGACTGTAAATCGGTACGTCAGGACAGCCTTATTCACTCTCCTGGTGCTGTCAGGCGATTTTGCCTTTATTTACTTTAATGCCTCTAGAACCAGTCTTGTTATTCTTGTCATGTCAGATTTCGATGTATCAGAAGTCTTTCAATGCACTATTTCTAATGCTTCTCAGAAAACCGCATTAAAATCCAGAGCCAGTTGTCACAGAAACACAAATACTGTCATTGTTAGCAGAAGAACCTTGAAACCTCTTCATGTTTCTTCTG